TAAACTTAGTTTTAATTTAAGAAAGGACTTGTATCGCTGAAGTTCTCAGAAAGAATTTCTACAGAAAATTAACAAACGAACACAGACGTAATGATACCGTCTAGTTCACAGTTGTAGGAAAGTTGTCCACAAATTAATACATTTCCTACTGATCAGCAAAGGCAATTGGAATGAAAATGATGTGTGTTGTTAAACAAAGATCACTATTTTGACTTTTGTGATTTCAAAAAATTAGTTATCAGTTCTTTTTAAATCATATTAAAATGCTATAAATATATTTTTACTTACTGTCTCCAAGTTCTTGAAATGATTATACAATATAAACCCTGAAATGTTTCATAATTTTTCTTCAAAAAATTGTAAGGGAGAAATGCAATTGACTTTTGTGTTGAAGAAAACTATTATGGATAGTTAAACCAAATATGGAAAACATCTGTAATTCTTACAACTCTAACTCTTTCACTACAATCAGCACATCTACCTTTACAGCATTGCCACAGTCATATATATTGGACACACTGCATAAACCTTCGAACCAGCTAAAGTGAAATGGGCAACAACTGCATAGTTAAGAGTGACACTTGTAAAGAAGGTCTTGGTATACTGATCTACAAAATAAATTTTCAGGTAGATAGGAAAGGTTTCAAAATACTTTTGTCATTTGTTTCTGTAAAAGTATGATATCAATTAAATTTTCTGAGAAACAGTTAAACAATAAAATCAATCATTTTGTAATTAGTTTTTATAAAACGATAAATGTTGCATGTTACTTTTGAAATTTTGGAAATAAATGCACTAATAATTATTTCACTTAATACTTCTTACAACCCCAGAAAATAACCATATCTAAAATATTTCAGGCAATTATCTGTAAAACAAAATCATGTTGATATCACAAGTATTAAGTGAGATATAAGTAATTATAAGAACACCATATGTGTTTTTTGTTTGTACCTAAGCATAAACCTGGATGGCCTGGTGGTTAGGATGCTCAATTCGCAATCTGCAGGTCACGTGTTCGAATCCCCGCACCAAACATGTTCACCTTTCAGTTATAGGGCATTTTAATGTGATGGTCAATCACACTATTCATTAGCAAAAGAGTAGCCCAAGAGTTGGCAGTGGGTGGTGTTGACTAGCCGCCTTCCCTCAAGTCTATCACTGCTAAATTAGCTTTGTATAAAATTCAAAAACAAACAAACCAATAAACCTGGTACTGGGAGAGTTGTTTATATACAAAACATGGCTGTGAAAGAGTTAATGGTGTTGTTACAAATTCATCAGCCACCTTGACATGCAACATTTTGTTAACAATTGTTAACACATTATTTATTCAAAATACCAAGGACCTCATGTCTAACAATTGGGTATTTACCTATAATAATATTTGTTTGCATAAACACTCAACTGTGAAATATATTTTCCATTGATTTTGAAAATCATGTTCAAGTAAAACCTGGATGATCGAGTAGAAATGACTTGTTATGCTTTAAATGGGAGATACAGGGTTTATCCTATGATATGTCTTACAATAAATTTAAGTAAAGGGTTCTTGCTGCTTGAGCCTTATGTTGTACACTGTCTACAACAAAGGAACATATTAAAGACATGGAGTAAAAACGTTGTCATTATAATATTTGTATTTAGTACTAATATAATCAAAATAGTTTTTAGTTGATTAGCATTTCTTTTTAATAATTTCAAAGTTCTTACATTATTTTCAGGTTGAACTTTCTTTGTTTTCTCAGACTAATTCAAAATCTTTTCACTCATCTTACATGGTCTATCATGATGAAATCAAACATATTCCATTCACTGCTTATACAATGCTAGCATGACATCAGAGTAAGATAAAATCTATTTAGTTTTATGCTATATAAAGAATACCTTACGATTGTCACACACATACTTCGATTATACTTCACTCAGTTAATATGAAAATTGTAAATATACTACTTTTGTTGTAAACAAAATTCATAAAAATTTATTAAGTATGTTTAAAGTGTTCTATGCAAAATTTTTACTTTGCACAAGCACAATAAAACTTTATTTAGCTTATAAGAAGTTCTAGAAGAAAATCTATCAACAATCAAACAGTCCAAAAAGTAATGATTTTATGAGGTATTATAAAAGAAAACATTATATAAATAAGGTATTTAAAAAGCACAAACCAATTTTCTTTAGGTTATGTATACACTATTTCTGAATGCTATGCATGCTGCTTTAATCCTTTGTAGCCATTAGTTTTATTTCCTGTAGTTTGCTGTCCAACTCTTCTTCAAGTAATTTATGTTCCACTTGCTACTTTTTCTGACCTCCTTAGAGCATTAGATTTAGAAATGCGACATCTGTCCTGTAGTCTCCACATTCTCCACAAACTCTGCTGATTTCAAAAGTGCTGCTACATTTGTTTCTATTCTTCTTTGTTTCTGTTTCTGAGCAACAACTTTGTCCTTCCTCTCCTCACTTCTCTTCTGTTCTTCTTTCTCTCGTTTCTCCTCATTTAGGTATGCCTAATACTTCTAACTAGCAGAAACTGGAAACTGAAACATTATCAACTCACTAACATTCTTCAAATGATCTATCACCCTCTGAACAGTCAGTTTGCTCAGCCATATTCTCAACAATAATCTCTTTGTTGTTAAGAAAACTCTTTCAATGGAGGCTTACCCATGAAACAGCAGTAAAATGTTTAACTCACATCCCATAGGCCTGACCTCTTCACCAATGGTCATGCTTGAATGAAAAATAAAAGTATAAAACTGTGATGTTTCTGATGCTTGGGACAACCAAATGTATATGTTGGCAACACTAAAGCTGTCAAAGTCTTAGAACTATTCAATAACATCATCACACTTGTTTTCTTTCACTTCATTGGATTTGTTCAAAATATATAATGGTTATTTCAGCTGTTGAAAACAAAATTCTGGCTCATTCATGATTATGTAGAGTTACAACCAAGCTAGGTTCCCAATAAGATCATAATGAAAAGGAAATTTCTTGAGCAACTTTGTAAATTCCCACACAAGAAATTTTTTTCTGTTTGCCTTGACAGCAAATACCTCTTTGTATGAATTTATTTTGACTGAATTCAGGTCCTTGAGTTGGTTCTTGGCCAAAAAACTTATGCTGACTCTTGAGATATCTTTCTGGTGTGATGAGCCATTCAAATTAATCTTTAGTACCTCTAAAGCAGAAGCTGCTGATTTAAATTGTATAATCCTCTACAAAGTAATCCATCAAGCTCACTGTTGTTTTATGAAGATCACTGGACATGAATGTAAAAATTGGTATGTCAGTTTGGCATTTTCCAAGAAGGTGTGAAAAATCTCTGGTGATAGACAAGATGTTAGCTTTCACCATAAACAGGGGACCTTTACAACTTGTTTCAAAAACACTTAAAGATTTTTTTTGTGTGATTTTACTAGGAACATATTACTACAAGTGTGACCAAACCTCTACAGCTCTCTCAAAGACTTGCAAATTTCCTAGCCTTCTGTGTTTAAAACAGGTCCAATTATGCTAGTGAAGTCTTCATGCCTGGCTAGAGAGTTCTTGAAAGCCAATATAGTGCACTCAAAGTCTGTTCTATGTCCCAATGCATATTTTATCTGCCAGAACTAAAGGTGTTGTGCATTATATGAAGTCACAGTTACCTATGTTCAGAAGTTTGTGGTTAGTTTCCTCTCATATTTTTGAGGCAACCTTGCTGTACATTTTCCAGTTTACATTGGAACATCAACTAAAAGATGAGGAATGCCAGAGAGTCCAATACTGTCAACACAGTCCCTCATTTTTTCATGAAACCACCAGCTGATGTGTGTCCAAAAAACTGATGTATAGAACCAAGAAGATACATAGCTTCCTTCCCAGAAGCATACATTCAAGTTCAGTTGTTTTGGCTGCACATGGGAATTCAGGCTTTCATCTAATAACAGCACATAGTCATTTCCTGACTTCATCTTTGATAATACCAGAGGTAGTAAGATATGCTGACTTTTGTTCTCCACCTGCAAATTTGGAAGCAATGTACTGCCAGGTACATCTTGTGAAAAAAGGATTGCTAACGTTTTCAGAGATTTTGAATGAGTAATGATTATCATTGATTGTTTTCACTCACAAACTTCTAACTGATGAAGTAAATGTAGTCTGGAATGGAGCCATAGTGTGACAAGAAACAATCTGTTGAATATCAAAGAATTACATTAAAATCTTTAAACTACAACATGTAATACAAAGCTGAAATAAAAATCCTGATTCTCTTTATTCAATAGTTAACAGTACAAAAACTGAGCAGTATTTCCTCATACATGACATGTTTAAGATCAAAGTAACAGCATGAGTAACATGCAGGACAGATAAATAAATGAAGACACTTTTTTCTAGTTTTACACATTATTCATTTACATTTAGACATTAGATTTTCAAGCTAATTAGTTTAACTTTTCTTTGGAAAGAGTGTGGAATTAGAAAATATCTATATTTAGAATATAGATGTAGATATGTAAATGATTAAATAAAAACAATATAACATTTCTTAAAATAGTTCAAAATACAAATTCCTACTACTTTTAACTGTTGTCCAAGTTCGATGAAGAAAAAAAAATTTCAACATTTGGTAACAGTCAAGCTTTAACTTTCATCGACTTTTAATGCTTTCTGCCAGCCACGTAGATCATAAATGCTACTTCTCCCATGTTGGAAACATGAAATGGCTTCTGATATATAGTATGATTCACTTTTTGTTTTGAAGCAGGATCAGGAGCAACTCTGGCTTTAAAGTTATACAACTCCATGATTTGGAATACACACATTTTCCAACATTCATTTTTAGACACTAACTAAAGTAAAAATTTTCATGAACAAATCACTGTGTTGAAAATATATGGGCAGTAGATTAAGTGGTAAAACAAAAACTAAAAAAAACTGATACTGTGCCTTAGATACCCTATGGAATTTTGAAGCTCATTTATATACTGTACTGGTCATTAGGAGTTTGTATATAATGTGTTGTTGTTGTTTTTGCAATTGATATGTACGTGAATTATACATTTCATACATTTTCTTCACCTTTGTATCAACATTGCATTTTTCCATAGTTTTCCAGACCTAGAAAACACAACCTAAAACTTCTAGACTTTCAAAATTGTACAAACCCTGTAATTTAGAAATATAATTCAGCATACAGCAATTTCAAATATGAAATCAAAAACTCAGTTAAATTCTGACTTACATGCCCTAGTCACATGTAGGTATTCAGATACACTAATGAAAAGCTGTTAAAAAATTATAAGTATGTGGAGAGGACTCATTAGATTTTGCCTTCAGATTACTACCACATAAGAAATGTAGATTAGACAGCATATCATAAAAGTTTGCAAGTTACAAATTAATCATCCACAGACTTATACTACTTATTTATAAGTAAAAACTGAAGAACTGTTTTAAATATCAGAACATTTGCCATGCTAATATTTAAAATATGCATAGGTAGAGTAGCTTTTATCAGGTCCCAAAAAATCAAATTGAGTGGCAGATGTCCAAACTGATCTATAACAATTATAAAAAAGAAAGATAAATCATATTCCAACCTGAAGCACATGAAAAATTCAACACACTAACAGTAAAGGTAGAACATGAGAATACCAAAGGACAAATTAATGGAGAAGTAGAAATGAAGCATAAAACCAATGATGATCTTTAGCAAATAAAAACAACAAAAAAAACATAAAAATAAAAATAATAATGAGACAAGTCAGAATAACAGTAAGACAACTAAATAAAAACCTAGAAGAAGGTCATCTGGGCAAGACTTCAAGAACCAAGAAAAACTCATATGACAAATTGACAATAGTTATACCAATTAAAGTATGACACATACCTAAAATAACATGGTAGAGACAAATGTCAGATCTTTATAAACATTTAACTCATTAATTAATGAAAAGATTGAAATTAATATTCCAGAATTTCTTTAACTCTGTTAGAAAATGTTTAGGGAGTACCACTTTTGGGAGTGCTTCCAAATGTTTAGTGAGTGCTTCCTCAGGCAAGGTGCAAGAATGAATTACTTAGCATGATTCAAGGCTTGAATGAAAAAAACTGAAGGATATGCTCAAAGCAACAGGTGGGCTTGTTGAACCTGTGAGGTAGTTTTCATGATGAATGTTATGCTAGAGATGGGCTCCACTTTTAAACAGACTAGGTAGCAGGATACTGAGGAAAGATCTAAAAAAAATACACTAAAGACAATCTAAACTTTCATAGTGGAGAAGTAGATTGGGAAATTGAGACTAAAGAAATTGAGAGGATAGCTAGGGCAATAAGGAGATTGGAAAAATATTCAGAGTATAACAAATTAAATAACAGTTTTAAAGATAAGTTTGTCAATTTTAATGATAAGCTTAGTTGCTATTATTCAAATGTTATGAGTGTCATGTACTAAATGGATGAGTTTGGGGCTCAAGCTGAAATGGAAGACTATGATATAATGGGAATTACTGACACTTGGCTGGATTTGATAAATACTGATAATAGGAATTCTTTTGAAATTCCAGGTTATAAGTCATTTAATAGTGACACATTTTAAAAGAAGGAATGGTGTCTCTCTATATAAAGAATGAACTGCATCCTTTTGGGAATGAAAACATAAAAAGATGGTAACCAGTAGGTTGAATCTATATGGGTTACAATCAGGAGTTGCAGCTGTAGAAAGGTTTTAACTTTTACATTTTTAGAATTAAAAAGAAATTTAAAACACGTACATTTTTCTGAATACTGAAAACCTTTCCTTGTTGAGTTTGAACTCATGTTTTCATGTGACTAAAATTTCCAAATGTCCTTTACATATTTGCAAACCATGTGTCTTTTACCTCTATTCCACTCTTACACATGACTCATTGAGCATATATCAGTGGATCTTACATAAGCTTTGCTTTCCTGCCATATGTTATATTTGTTTCAAAGTTGCAATCATGTTGAAAATTTGGTTTTGTGAAAGCAGGAGAAAAAGTTTTTCAGAATTAATTTCATTTGAAATTCATTTTAATTCTAAAAATGTAAAATTCAAATCAGGCAGACTTGCCTCTGAAGTACTGAAAAACCAGAATGCCTAGACTTTAAAGGAGGAATTAAACAATGAACCACAAATATAGGGAAGGTAGAAAAGATATCTGGACTGCAAAATTGTAGCCAAGAAAAGTTGGTACAGAATACAGAACAAGAAATAAATTCTTAGTACTGCAGTCTAGGAAGAATGAATGGAGCAAGCCAGCCTTACAAAAAAAAAAATGTTTGACCTGAAGGACACTCAGAAGGAAAGCATTCTTCTCAAAGTGAAACCCCTTCACCCATGATGCCCTTGTTGATAGTGGCACAGGGTCGGTATTGTGAGTGGTAATAGTATATAACACCAGTAGAGTCAACAAAGGAATACAGGTAGTGGCATGAATAGGTAGGAGGAATACTATGCCCTGCTCCTGCAGTGGAAAGTTATTGTGGGAGTAGTCCACACACATGTGATGAATGGACATACTCCACATTTAAAATGGCTAGGGAGTCATAACTTAGCCAAATTATTGGGTGCCAGCAGGGAACAGAGAAAGACCCAAGCATACTCCAAGGATAGGTTCAACAGTGCAAGGACAATGCAATGGGACATCAAGGTATAAAAAAATATATAAAAAATATGGATGAACCCCATCCTTATTGGAGTGGAGACATCAAGCAAAATCTTAAATGCTATGCAAGGACATGCACATGGAAACAGAAAAGATACCTAATCAAGCATCATCAGCCAGTTGATGGCACCCTTTGTCTACTTCCAAAGAGCAACACTCTCTCATAGAAGGTGGCATGGGGACTAAGAGGTATGTGTGACTAGCAACAGCCCCACATTATTATTGTTTTTTGATATACATACATATGCACACAAACTGCTATGTATATTCAAAAATATTAGAACCCCAGACACTCTGAGATCTGTGAACAGGGGTGTTGGAAGATATAGCAATGTGTTGCCCAGGACAAAAACAGAAGTCAAGTAACATGCAAGAGTAGTAACTGGATGAACTGATATAAATACAAATTCTCAATACCTAAGAACAGATTGTATTGAAGTACATCATCCAATGGGTAATTCCCACTTATAGGTTTTCAGCATAAGTAAAGTCCAACAAAGGTACACAAAGTGACAAAATCAAACAGCAAGGCTGTCAACAGAGAAATCTAACTTATGGTAGGAAAGCAGAGCTTATGTAAGATCCACTGACATATGCAAAATAAATCATGTGGAAAGTGGAAGAGTGGAGTACAGAAAAGTGACATATATATAGTATACAAATACATAAAGGACAATCAGTAATTCTGAATCAATGAATTCAAACTTGACAAGGAAAGGTTTTCATTATTTCAGAGTTAAGTCTGCTTAATTTGAATGGCAATTGTTATAGGCCACCTCATCAGATGGAAATGTTAATGAAAAATTGTATAATGATATTCATAATTTAAGAACAAAAAAGAGGCCTGTTAGTCCACCTAGGCTGTCCCATCCACAACTAAACTCTAAAATAAAAATAAAACACTCAAAGCTAGCCCTTATCCTTCAAATATTCATCAAACCTTCCTTTAACTTCTTTAAGTTAACTACATCTACCACATCTGAACCCAATTCATTTGAAAGACCAACCACTCTGTTACAAAAATAAAGCTGTCTTAGCTGAAGATGACTCCTACCCTACCAAAATCCATATCTGTGTCTCTTAGTCTTACCATTCTCATCATTAAATACATAAAAGATGATGCATAAACACTATCAGTTCCCTTAATAATCTTAAACATATCAATCAGATCACCTCTAACTCTTCTTTTTTCAAGAGAAAACAATTTTAGAAACCCTAACCTATCCTTGTATGACAACCTTTCTATCCCAGTAGCCCTCCTTTGAACCCTTTCCAACAATTAAATGTTCTTTCTAAGGTAAGGAACCCAAGCTCAGGGTTGTTACTAATAAATATACTGATGCAATAATTATGGAAAACTTTTAATTTTAAACACAGTAATTGGGATTGTGTGGGGTCAAGTAATAAGGGAGATTTCTTTGAGTGAGTTAGGTTGTTTTTCTATACCAAATGGTCATCAGAGAGCTAACCTGGTAGAAGGGGGGGGGGATGACATTCTAGATCTATTGTTAACCAGTAATGAAAATATGGTTGCAAAAGTTGAAGGGGGGATATTTAAGTTTGATTCACTTTGCAATATGTTGGGACAAAGGAAATTACATTTTAGTTCCTAATTTTGCATCCACAATACAAGATTTGTCATTAGTGATATGAGATAACAAGTAAAAAAGGCAATGTGGGATAGATTTGGAAAATATTTAAAAATAAATTGAAATGTTTTTAATTCAAGATAGGCATGTTCCAAAAATGAGGCAAAAGACAGCAGGGAAGATCAAATCTTATTGTTTTACTAAGGATATAAAGGAGAAAGTCAAGGATAAATGATTAGTCTAAGAGATTAAAATTGGCAGATAGAATGGAAGATTTATAGAACTATAGAAAAACCTGTGGATTTTGTAAAAAAAAATAATAATTATAAGGAAATCCAAAATGGCTCATGAGTAACAGTTGTGTGATAATGTTGAAGCTAACAGCAAGAATATTTTTAAGTATGTTAAAGATAATCAAAATATTAGAATGCTGATATAGCAATGCTTTTGTTGAAGATTATGAGGTAATCGAGGTTTTAAATGTTGTTTTTTTCTTTTATTTTTACAAAACAGAATGTTAGCAATATTCCTAACACTGAGGACTTTATGGAAAATACTTGGAATGACCTAAATCATGTAATTATGAATATCATGGTGTTAAAAAGAAAGACTGAGATATTCAAAATAAAGCACTCTGACCAGACAATTTTTTTTTCAGAGTTTAAAGGAGGTTAAAGATCAGATATGCAAGTCTCTATCCATCTCATTTTTGGCAGGTCAATAGAATAAAGAGCACTTCCCTGAGGACTGAAGAATTGTGTTTATGTTACTCTTATTTCTAAGAATTGCCCTGGAAATTATAGACCAGTTAGTCTATGAAACACTATATAGTCAGATAAAACAAGTTTTACAAACTCATCTAGTGAAATATGATATGATAAAAGAAAATCAACATGGATTCACTATAAGGAAATCTTCCCCCACTTAATTGTTACCCTTTTTTTGAGGATGTTCTATGCTATCTGGATGATGGAAAGTATGTAGTAGACTTGGTGAACATAGATTTGCAAAAAAACCTTTAATATGGGGCCATACAAAAGATTAGTTATGAGAATCACATTGGTAGGGATTGGAGAAAAACTAGTAACTTAACTGAATTGGAAGATAGTTGGATTAGAGAAAGCAACAAGTTGTTATTAAGGGAGTCCAGTCAGACTGTTACTAGTAAAGTGCCTCAGTAGTCTGTGCTTGGGCCTTTGCTTTCTATTATTTACATTAGTGCAGTGGTTTCCAAACTTGTCTTATGGCAAGTTGCTTGGGGTGTCGCGAGAGTTTCACCAAATGAAGAATGATTATGAACATAAAAAAAATCTCTACAAAAAAATACTGCATGTGGCAACAGGGGTGTCATACAAATTAAGGTAACTGGGTCAGGGTATAGTCAGTGAAAAACGTTTGGGAACAACTGTATTAATGATATTAATATAGGCACAATTATTAAATCAGTAACGTTTACTGATAACATTAAATTCTTAAGTACTTATAACTGTATTGAGGATGTTAAGGTATTACAGAATGATTTGGATCAATTGGTAAACTGGACAAATACTTGGCAAATGACCTTTAATTATTTTAAGTGTAAGATAATGCATTTGGATTATCACAATTTGGATCCCACATTTTATAGATAGAAACCCACTCACTAGCATGAATGAAGAAAATAATTTTTAAATAGTAGTGGATGAGTTGCTCAAGTCATTAATGCAGTGCTCTGTTGCTAATAGCAAAAAAAAAACTAATAGAATGTTAAGGTGGCTCAAGTCTTGTTTGTGTTGGTTGCTTGTATGATTGTTGAGTTGAAAGCTTAAGCACAAATTTTGTTCAAGTGGGTGAGAAATATATCTAATAATTATGATAGTAGTTGTCTGGTTGGGGTTGTTGCCCTGACAGCTCAGTTGGAAGAGTACTAACACAAGCTGGAGGTCCTGGGTTCAAGCCTCAAGTAAGGCAAAATATCATTTCTATAAAACATTATTTGTCAGTGTTACACACATTTCCACACAAGTGAGTAAGTAGAATCAATGAAAGATAAATTTCAACTACTTGTTACACTATGTGTGAGGGTCACACCAAACCAACATAACAGATTCGGAAAACTCAATGTGTCTAAATCTATCAGATATAATTTATAACTAGAAAAAATATCCAAGAGAAAAACTAATCACTAAACAAATAAGAAAACATTTGCTATGTTAGGAAAGGTAATTTTTCAGGCAATATGGCAGATATCATAACATATGTGAAATGTCATTGACTTTAAGACTTAAAAGTATAAATACTATAAGAAATTCCAACCCTACAAATTAGATTTTTTTACTTAGAATGAAAAATACACAATTAGTACTTAGATATTTCTTTGATTTCTTTTCATGTAATTGTTTCCAAATATAAAATTAAACATCTTGAAAAAACAAAATGAAAAATTTGATAAGTCCTTTTAAATTACTACACACATATACAGAACAATTCATAACTTGCATAACATTGTAAGAACTAGAGATTATACAGAGCATGATATGTAAAAGAAAAACTGGGTAATACAGAGCCATTCTATTTTGTACTATTTGGCCACCAGATGGTTGTTCAATAATGTCAACTGCTATGCTTCCAGTCTGGAGGAATCATTCCACTAATATGATTACCATTCATTATGTAATTGTGCCTATGTCAGGGTGCTTACTAGCACAGGACGTAGCTGTTGCAATAGTCTTACCCCTTTTGCTGTACAGCAAAATTTGCTCACTGAACTCAGCAAGTGTAAAGCTGTGGTATATGAACACATCGTCCAATTCTACCTTCTTGTAATATTAATTATAGTATTTATTCTGTATATGCGCAGGTTCATATAACATGTGGTTAAGAAAGCCATTATGTTGATTTCTAGCTGCTTTTGTTCCTTTGTTATTCTTAAGGAGATACTACCTAGTTTGCCCATGGAATATGTTGCTGAAATACTGCATGTGTGAAAGGACATCAACATTAATGTCCTTCAATGGTAGTTCAGATGATATTTCAAGGTTATGGTATTGCCTATGTTTTAATAAGAATGATCAGGCACATGGTTAGCACCAGTCACTCTGGGTAAATATGATGTTTCTTGCAAACTAAGGAATGCTAGATTTAGTAAGTCTGGTGTATGGATAAAGCTTGATTAGTTGAGTATAGGAGATCCAGTACAAGCAATCATCCCATGTCAATAAAAAAAATATACAAACACACACTGTTTTTATGTTTAACAAGATATAATAAATAATTTTCATTTCATATTTCACTTGGTGTTCAGTCTACTTCATTTGTTCTCCTGACTCAGTTATTCAGAGATATAACAATACTTCGAAATAAGTAACCGAACCAAATCTCCTGTTATTAAGCAGAACCATCTCATTGCTCTAGGGTTAACTCAGTTATAACTAGATATACCACAAAGCCTTAACATTCTTAACACATGTCCTTCTGCTGTGAGTACTGAGAAAGTATTGATATCCAGGCCCTTTATACCTGAACAACCTTATGTTGGCTAATTGGTGTATCACAATATATGTCTCAGTCAAAGAAAATTTTTCCCTTGCATATCATCTTCCCATTTTTGTGACGATTAGAAAGTGCTACATGAATTATGAATTGTCCTGTGCATGTACTTGTAAACAAGAATAGCTAAAATGCATATACCTAACTTTATAACTGTTTCTATTATACTACTGAAGTATTGGTTATCACTACATTATTCACTCTTATGGCGTTGCAGGGTAAACTCTAGATGAAATTGATAAGGAGAGAGACCTGGGTATACTTATCAAAAAAGTCTCTAAAGCTTTCTAGACAATGCATATTAGGAAGTGATAAGGCAAATGGGGTTATAGTTGTATACAGAAAAATAGTGAGCTCAAGTCAAAGGAGGTCACTGGTTTAATATATAAGAAGCTGGTTGGTTAGATCTCACTTTGTATATTTCATTTAGTTTCACTTAAGTCTGGAATCACCTTGATAGTTCTTTTCTGAACTACCACGATGATTCCAGGTTCACATGAATTACTGTACAAGGATAGGTTGAAATCTCTTGGCATGTAAAACTAAAAATACAAGCTTAAGATATGAAAAACCTCAGAAACAACTCCAGTTGAGGCCCATGGAATATTTTCCATTCATGTGTAGTAGAAGCAAAAACACTGATAGAGTTTAAGAGGGGATTTGATTGGTGTTTTTAGATCAAATTTGGATAGAAGAATAGGGGGGCCATTACTATAAGTAGATGCATGGTAGTAGAAAATGGGAAAACCTAGTTGGGCCAAATAGCCCCTTGTTATCCCTTTTAAGTAAAATAAAAATGTTTATTACTTAAATACTGAAATTGTTACTTACCTAGTAATGTCTTCATTTATATTTTCATCAGAAGTGAATGAATTTTCTAAATACTATTGAAAAATGGAATATTATATTAATCAATAACACTGATTTTGCATAACTTTCAAAAATCATGTCTTTACAAATCATCCCATGAATTCTGACAGTCAATAAAATGAAAGAGTATAAAACATTCCAGTTTAAGACATATATGTTAAATAACCTAATGTAATGCTACTTTGAAATTTTCTTGGCTGTGCTTTCACTAGATGGACTTATTTTAATCATTGAAGATACTTAGTAGATAAGAAAAACATTAGGTGCTTCAGAATAACAAAAACTTTAAACTGAGAAATCCTAACTAAGAATTAATAAAATTCCCAATTCAAGTTTCAAAACTTCCCCATTATTAGCAGGCATGCATTTCAATAGGTTTAAGCCAAATTTAACAGTTATAAAACTGTTTAAGATGTTTCAACCTAAAGTAACATAAACATTCCCCATTGACTGCAGTAACAATAAACTAAAAGTCTACAACAGGCTGTTATTTAAATTCAGTACATAGTACAATGGTTTCTCGTTTCAAGAAATGTAATTATTTAACATCTTTCTTACTAATATGTTAGTACTAAAAGTGCAAGAGCCAAGTTACAGCTTCAACTTGTTCAAGTGACAATATTGTAACAATTTAATATACATTTAGTTTCAAAAAACGTTTCAACGTACTCTTACATCTCCAGTCGTAAGTTAATTTTCCGTAAATTCGTTCCAACGAAACTTTAGCGACACAAGTCCTTTCTTAAATAATACTGGTTTATTCTTTCCGAATACAACTTTACCAATACACTTAATCTCAACAGTCGCTCTATAACAAACGCTAGAACGTCTCTCGTGCTCGACAATACTCAATTACGCTGTACTCTCTGACTGCAGTTCAATTACTCATTGCCTACACATTGTCCCGTCACGTTGTGACCATCTTATATATACCAGACTACCCCCCCCCCCAATCTAGTAGTTTCCCGATAATTCTCGAAGGTTCGAGACGGACGTGGCGTGATACTAGTCACATGACCTCGCTGACGCAACAGTACGAATCTCTTTATTTTTTCTCCTCTATCGCTATCAGCATGGTGCAGAACTATAACCAGGGCTTATTTTTTGTTCAAAATTAATTTATTCTGTAATTCTTTACATCGAAAAAAGTAAGTCTTCTACAAGACAACTCATATTCATACGATTCAATATTTTTTGCATTATAAAAAAAAATCGAATTGTTTCAACAATGTTGTTATTTTCTACATTTCGTCAGCATTATTAATTAAAGTTGTTCTATAAATCTCAAACCTAGAGAGAAGCGAGTGGTGTTACAAAGCTCGTGACGTAGTAATAATCTGACCACTGCCCGAGTTTGGGATTTTTTCCGTTTGTGCGGGAATCGTTATTTCATTTGTAACTGGGTCTTGTGCTTACCTAATCAACATTTAAAGTTATCTCAATACTAAAATATTTGAAGTAGAATTAATTAAATTATAGGCAAATTGGGTTTCAGAAAGGCGTTTTTGGGCAAGAAATTACCAAGTGAGTAAAACATCTAAGCTAAAATAGTAATTGTAGTTTATCTTGCAAGTTGCATAAAGTAACGAGAGCAGCATTAGGCCTAAGTTTATATTAACACTGTAATGTAGCACTGACAGGAAAGGATTGTGATGTTGTACTGTTGTCTGTATGAAATAAGAAAAAAATATAAAAAGAAGTATGTTATTGGTCAAACCACTAAGGAGTTAATATATATAATTATGGATACAACGTTTCGGGCAATGCCCTTCTTCATGTATCACTAACTCAACAGTAAATCCGTAAACACATTGGGTTTTAACTTAGTTTTAGAAGTAGTAGTATTAACTTGTACTGTTGTAGTTGTATTTATTAGTATTACACACATGCATTTTTATAAGCACATGATTGAGCAACGTATGTTTTTCACCTTATTGTTAAGATGTAATTGTAAACATAATTCTTCATAATTAATAATGATACCATGTAATGTTATTGGTTTGAGCTAAGCTATAGAATTTATAAATGGTAATTCATTATTCAGTGAGTGAGTAATACTAATAGAGCATCAAACTTCATGTCTAACACCAACCAATTGTTCAAGAGGCTTGATTCTTAGATCCATAATTAAATTTTCAACAATTAAAAACTAATTTTATGATGCAGAAGAGTTCTGAAAGGTAAATAAAATTGTTAATTTATCTGTTACACACTTGTCATTATAAAATCATTTGTGTTTTATGCTAGCAAGTGTTTTTATGTGGCCAAAAAGTTTTTAAATAGATTACAGCTTCTATGAAGAATAAAAAAGACATTTTTTGATATAAGTGTACAAAAATTGTGATATATTTTCCTATTTTAATGCCTAAATAGATTTTGATATTAAACAACTCTTGCCTACTACTACAGAACATGTATACTAACTGAGGAAGAGTGGTAATAAAATAACAGGATAGAAAAGCAAATGACAACCAATTCTGCTATAAACTATTACAAGTGTAGCACAGTTTTAAACTATCATTTAATCATTACATTACACATTCCCAGTTACAGATAACCTCTACTGAGAAACAAATGACAAGTAAAAATTAAAAAGCAAAAGGCAACTGATTCTGAATCATGGTGTCTGTTCTACATGGTACTAATTTCTCTGTTGAAAACTTGTCATTTGATTTTGAAACAATATTTTTCATGTTCTGATAAACATAACTTGCATTTTTTTTAAAATCAGAATTAGCTGTAATTTGTTTTTAAATAATGCAAGCATGTCATTCTATGTTTAAATGATAGTTCATGATTTCCCTTTCTTTTCCTGCCTAAAAAAGAAGATTTCTGTAGCAGTTTATTTGCAATATTATTCTTCGTCATTCATTTTTTTTATGTCTCTCCAATAATCACAGTAATATAAATCTTACATGAAGTTGTTGCTAAGGCTAAGATTGTAGTTAGTTTTGGATTATAGTTGGCAAAGAATAATGTGTGTTGTCATTTTACATAGGATCCTTGCAAGAAATACATGTTTTGATTTACACAAAAAAAAATAAATACTTTTTTAAACTAAGCCTTGTGTGAAATTTATTAATCCATAGTTTAACTATCAAAATTGCCTAAATTTATTTCTCTGTATTTATGTAACAAAAGTTGATTAAAATGACATTCAAACTGACTAAAAGAATATAAAATATCTTCCAGACTTAAAATATTGCTATTGGAAGAACTTTGGTAAACAAATTAGTTAAAAAAAGATAATTGAAATTTGCATAATTTTATGTTTATCTGAGACCTCATATATTTTTTTAGCCAGTTTTGAATTTTTTGTGTGTATTCATGGTCAATTAAAATAATAACATCTAAATTTCAAGTTTAATTCTTTGTCACAGATATGAGCTCATCAAGGAGAGTTTCCAGTATGAAAAAACAAAATTATCACAGGAGAATAAATTCTGCAAATATGTTCATCGTATATGCATGCAAAACAGACTCGATGGTTATGAATACTGCATTCGCCACATTTTAGAAGACAAGAGTGCACCATTTAAACAGTGCTGTTTTATACATCCTCAGAGAGGTAGAAGATGTCCAAATGCTGCACCAAAAACAGAAAAGAAAGATAAGTAAGTTTTCTTTCAATTGATACCTAGCTCTAGAATACATAAATACATATACATTCTTGTCAACTACATCCCATAATCAACACTCACCATATATATGCACAGAATAGGATGTGTAGTTACATGTAATAATGGTTTTTTTAGCTCCATAGAAATATACAGTAGCAGATCTATTTATTTGTAAATATGTTGAATATGAAAAGCTACTCTCAAAGAGTTGAAAGTAATTAGAAATCATAAGGGCCCAAAATGCAAAGTAACACTGTTATTACATATTTTGTATATGTGCCAGATTTGAATTTATTAAATAAATTCAAATTTGTTGAGTACTACTTTTTTTTTTTATGGATTCTGTTGCCCCTTAAGCAGGCACTCTTCTCTGTAAAATGAAAATTCTTATCTTTTACATTTAAAAGGAAATTCAAGAAAGAAAACAATACAATATTTCTTAATTAAAAAATATAGTGGAAGTGAAAAAAAAAGACACTTGAAATACTAGTATTGTACTTACTGTGCATTTGTATATATGAATCAATTGTTTGTATTAATAATTAGCATTTTTTTAATACAAAACTAAACCTCATATTTTCCCTGGCCCATTCACATACCTGATAAAGCCAGATGATGTTTTAAAAACATTTTCAGGCAATATGACTAGAGGGCATAAGTTTAATATATGACTAACTGAGAAACAATTTCAGTTCATTGTGTAACTTCTCTAATAAAGTAGTCTATGTATGGAATAATTTACCTTTAAGTGTGGTAAAAGCAGCAACACTGAAGGAGATTGGATGATATCAGAGTTGGGTATAAGAAAAGGTGATTTTTATATGTAGTTTGGATTAGGGTGGTAGTAGAAAATGTGATAGCTTAGATGAACCAAATAGTCTATTGTTATCGCTTGGAAATGAAGTGAAGAACAGTTAAAGAAAAGATACATAACCAGATTTGAGTACTAGATCATGCAAGTACACAATTCATGTGACACAGCTCTCATATTCAAATATAGAGAAGTTAAGTATGTTATAATGATTTTGGAGCCTCACCATTGTAGTCCATGTTGCAACATCCTGTCATGCTCTATCTGACAACTGTGCCTCTTGACAATAGGCCTGCAGCATAGTTTCCATTGAAAAGTCTCCACTGTAAGACTGTCATGTCCAAAGCATATCCATCTAGTGTACAAGGGTGATGGTTTCCAAGTGCCCATTTCAACAGTCCAATCACACAAAATTCACAGGCATTCCTCTAACAACCTGATCGGTATTTATTCATACGTAATAGTATGAACACCAGTTTCTTTCTCCAACTGCTTGAGGAATGCAGCAACTGATGTGTTGCTTTTCCAGACTGAGATTTTTCTTGATTATATTAGGTATTGTTGCCTGGGGCACATAAAAGGCTTTTGCTACTGACTTTTGTGTTTTTGGATTCTCACCTGTTACAAGATCCCACACTTTGTCTACCATAATTGCAATATGACTTGTTGGCAGGCCTCTTTTTGGATGGTTCTGGTGCTCCAAGTTGATTCCTATTCCTTTCCTTTCCAATGCTATTTAGTATAAGGGGCATCTCCATCTTTGAAATTCTAAATCCTTGATATAAACATCTTTATAAACTAAATGTATGAATATCTTGTATTGAAAGGGGGTTTTAAGTATCCTATCAAAAAGTGATCAGTTTTCATTGGCTTCACAATACCTACGAAATGGCAAAATGTAGTTCTGATACATGTCATTTTGCAACAAATTTATATTGACTAGAAAAGACATTTAATGTATTAAATCATATCTGTTTTTCTATTTTCAGAAGACATATACACTTGCTTGTAGGTGTCCTTATTCAAATATATTACAAGAGTTCACTGAGTGGCATATATTGATGAGTTACTTTCATTGAAACTGTTAGGTGGTATTGAGTCTTAACAAACCATTGTGAGAAAAAAATTGTTGGTGGATGAAATGAAAAATGACTTGGATCAATATTTTTGAGGAATTTTATGAGGTGAATTTAAAACAGTGATGTACTTGCAAAAATGATTTTCATACATGTAACAGTATCCAAAAAGAAAACTCATAATACTGTAATAATAATAACAGGTTGTTTTTTTATTGTCGTTCATTCTTACACCAAAATGTTTATAATAGCCACATTATCATGGTCCCCAATATTGGAGTAAAAAATTGATCATTTTAAATTTTCAGTTTCGCTTTGCTAATTTGTAACTTTTTGAAAGAAAATACCTCACCATTTTTTTTTCTTATCATTTGAGGTTTATTTAGAGGCACCCCAATAAACTTGAATTATTGAAAGTGGATAAAAGTACTTTGTTGCAAGAATAAAATACATTTATTCCAAATTAAATATAGTAAATTGGGAACAAAAATTAATAATGAGCTTTTTTCATTTGGGTTTTAGCTTTTCATAAGTGTGGATTTCTTGCAGTCTGGAAATTTTTTTCTGTGTGTTTCTACAACTTGAGAAGGAATTTTTTGGTCTTCCTATTTTGTTAGGTAAAGTTTTAAATGACTTTAACAGACAATATACTTGATAAATCTTATAAAATGACTTATTAGGGTCCTTATTTATAACACATGATTTTTAACCAATGTACATTAACTAACAAATTACACTCAGATATGTTTATTGTTGTTCTTCTGTAATTTTATTAATACTGAATTACTGGTTTGCTTAGAATTATTTTCATAGGCTTCAAGTGTATGATCATAAACACTTTTGTGTCTGCAGTAACTGTTTATATCTATTATTTAACTAGTGTTAATAACTGTGACCTAGATTAAATTTGTACAATATATATCATCTGTAAAATGAAATATAGCAAATTTTTTTTTTTCGATAAAACAAAATTATTGAAGATAGTAGAATTGAAAAACTTGCCGAAGAGCATCCTGAACCACACCTTTGTAGGACTATAAACACCTGTTGTTTCTTTTTAATAATAAACTACAGGACTCTTCCATATTACATGACAGATTTCAATGACTAGATTACTAAAATGGTTAATAATATTTAGCCTTTCTTTAATTAAAAGCTTGAAATTGTCTGACTACTGCAAATTTATTATTTTGATAGAATAAAGAATATATTATTCAATAGATTATTTACATACTTTCTACATATACATTAAAGGCTAATAGTGTGTTACCACTTTTTTTGGTGCACTACCTTCCCCTTGAAGATAATAGTTAGTGCATCAGCCTTAACTATTATGAAAATGTGTGTGTGTGGCTGTGACACATTACTTTTTGAGGCATTGATGTTAACAGTTATGGTTAGGGAAAAACATGTTTGTTTTTTAAATTAAGATTGGTATAGAAGGTAAGAAATAAATTGTATATTGTATAACATATATATTTTGCTTATTCTATCAGTCTTCTCAGTGACTTACAAAAGATTAATAGTAGTATAGATTCTCTCATAACTTCCTGTATTATTTGAGTTTTTGGTTTTTTTTCCTGTATACATAATATTGTAAATCATACTGACTTAGAATAAGTGATACAAGTCAACAAAGTGGAGAAATCCACAGTATATTTTCAGTTAGTAGTTAATCACCACAGTCATCTAACACCAGTTGTAAAATAAGTATGGCAATAAAATCTCACTTAGTGAGAGAAGTTTATTCATTATTAATAGTTATTATCACCTAAAAGTAAAGAACTTATAACTACTATGCACATGCCTTTTGTGTCTTCTGCTTTTGGACATGGTCACGTCAGTAATTAAAAGTATACAGACATCAATATGTACTTGTGTCAGATATCTAGGTATCTTATATTTTCTGCCACTGAATGTGGCAGAAGCTTTGTGTGCATATAAATTACAAACAGAGAAATGTTAACTTGGATCTTGCTCTTTGTCAGTTTAAGTTCTAAGATTTCAGGACTTAATGCTAATAGTAGTTTTAACTTGCTGTGTTTTTACATTTTACTATAGTTTATATTTTTTTACTGTTTTTACCGGTTGTTTGGTGCAGATAGGCTTGTTGTTTTGCGCCATAAAATACCAAACAAACAACCATAATGCTAGTATAAGCTACTGTCCTGAGTTCAAGCACTATTTCTGTACATTACAAGTATATATTAAAATATTCTTTATGTTGTGATTGGAATCAGGATTGTAGAGTTCTTTCTGCCAACCAACTGAAGTAAAAACAACATAACAGTACTCAGAAACAAAGATTACTACATCTAACAGAATTAGCACATCAGCAGGAAAAAAATACCTGTATATAATAATTCTTGCACTATAGTCATAGCAACTGCCTTGTTTTATACTCTCAGTTTTGTTTGAATAAAAAAAAAAGTAACAGTGTATTGCATTCATCATTCCTTTAGACATCATTATCAATTTGATTCTAGTAGAATTTGGCAACGTGGGAACTCTAATCAAGATTTTGTATATAAAATAGCCACACTAATTAAGTCCACACTTTCTCATTAAACATCAGTACAAAAAATTACTTCATTTGTTCAACTTCCAATTTTCACTTATGTGAGGAGTTGAATGTTCCAGATATCTGATTTGATTTGTTTTTCCATTATTCTTTGAAGAAAAGTGAATAAGTGTATCTACTTGTTTAAGAAGAATAAAATCAAGTTTATAAGAAATATAGTCTTACAATAAGTAATTTTAAAATTAAAGGTTCTAACATAAATAAAGTGAATTTTTATTTCAATTTTTTCTAGCAGTTTATGTCCATTACATATAAAGTTGTTATGGAGCAAACGCCAACTGAAACGAAAAGAATGTCCAACAGAATCAACAGCATCTCTTCTAGAATCTTTGGAACATTACTGTCAAGACCACCATGACACTGAAAAATATCCCTTTAATTCCTCAAGACAGACAAAAAATAAACATGGAACTCATCTAGATATTCATGCTGGTACAGTAATTCTTGTACAAGTAAATTTTATGTAGGTTTAAGTTGAATATGTCAATTAACTTTGTTTACTGTCACAAATGATATTAAATTAAAAGGTATTTCAAATTCTACTGAAGGTGTTGAAGTTTTGTACAGAGATTTGGATTAGTTGATGAGTTGGACTGATATGTCGCATGAATTTTAATCTTAATAAAAGTAAAGTCATGCATATTGGTTATTATAGCTAATTGTTTCTTATAGCTATGTTTGGGAAACTAAGTGTAGTTGATGAAGTAAAAGATCTGGGCACTGCCATTATAAAATCTCTGAAATCTATGGACTGTATTTTAGTAGCTAATAATAAGGCAAAGAGGATTTTAGATTGTGTGCATAGAAACACTCCAGACAAGTTGAAGAATGCCATCAGTTCATTCTGTAAGGTGATGGTTAGACCTAATTCCAAATAGCGTGTTCAGTCTTGGCCACATTATTTAAGAAAGAATGTAAAGTTGTTGGGTAGGGTTCAGTGAAGTGCTACCAGGATGATTTTAGGCTTAGAGGATTGAAATCTCTGGGCCTGTTTTTGCCAAAGTGAAGGGTGTTTGTTAACATGAATAATATTTTTATAAATTTGTTGGAGGTTTGGAATTCATAAATTCAGATGATATTTTCATTAACAAAAAAAAATGCAGAGAGTAAGAATAAAGTGTAAATATTTGACAATGCACAGCATTTCCACTAAATTTAATCTTTTTTTACAGAGACTAGCAACAGCTTCTTTCCAGATTACTGCTTAGATTTATACTTGGCTGATTCGCTTCAGCTTCTGTATTGAGAAGTGGGTATTTCCAGATAATATTTTTCCTGTTATCCTTCCATTCTTCTTTGTGGGTCATTGTTACCTAGACCCTGATAGATTTTTCTGTCTTGTGTACTTAGATCTTACTTAGCTTGTAGAAGTATGCACTTCAAAAGTTACTCTCCTTTTTGAATTTGTGACCTTCAGATCCTTCTTTGTTAGGTTCTCCCCAGTCATACAGGCAATTTGAGAAATGGACTGCCTGCCTTTTCTCATCATATATGTCATCTGATTATGCCTCATGCACCTGCTGCTTGGTGTCCATTGGAGTAAGTTCCAGAAGCTGCTGTCCATGAAATATACTTACTCCAAGTGATCCTGCTTTATCTTTTCAATAAGGAAACTTGTCTTAGAACATATACAGTCATCTTTAGGCTTAGAGTTTGAAGGTTTCCGTTATTCTCTTTTTTTTTAACTCTGTGCACTATATGAAAACCATATGTTACATTTGATAAATATATATTCTGAGATTTCTTCACCATTCATTGTTCTTTGCTTTTCTTAACTATGGGGTGCCTGGATTATTGTATCTTTACTCATAAAGCAGAATTTCACCATTGAAATAAAAGATTATACATAATGTATTAGGTCGTCAAGAAATTAATGTTGCTTTTATTTGATGAAAAAACCCGAAAAACTTGTATATCAAAACAAAACATTTATTAAATGAAAGTCTCCATTCTTATAGATGATGCTTTTCCAACTTACAGTCAGGTTGTTAATGCCCTGATTAAAGAAATCACTTGGCATTGAAGCCAAAATCATGTTGGTGTTCTCTTTAACACCTTCCACATTTGCATATGTTTTTCATTAAGATGGTGTTGCAGCGATTGAAAAAGAAGGTAATCTGATGGTGCCATATCTGGAGAATATGGTGGGTGGGAGAGAACATCCCAACCCAACTCCATAATCTTGTGTTGCATCAAACATGCCACATGTAGACATGCATTGCCATAGAAAAGAAGAACACCTTTCCGATTGACGGGTGAAGGGAGTTTCTGATGAAGGGCTTGATTTAAATGTTTCAGTTGCTGATTATAGATCTCGGCATTGGCTGTTCGCTGTGGATTAATGAGTTCGAAATGAATTACTCCTTTGATGTCCCACCAAATGAAGCATCACTTTCTGCAGATGGAGCCCAGATTTTGGGGTCGCAAGTGGTTTTTGTCTGAGACTGAGCTATTGTTTTTCGTATTTAAAATTTGCATAGAGAATCCATTTTTCATCATCAGTGACAATTTTGTCCAAAAATGGTTCACATGCCAGAAGAGATGAAGCAATGTTCACACATGGGAAATGATGATCATTGGAGAGTTTGTGAGGCACCCAAACACCTTCTTTAAGGTGTTTTCCCATATTCCTTAGATGTTTATATATTGTTCCATGAGAGACATGGAATTTCGGGGGCCATTTCACAAGTGTGTTGCCTTGGGTTAGACTCAACAAGCGTTTTCAGAGCATCAATATCAATTCCAACATGTCAGCCCCTGCTATCACAGTTTTTAAAGCTAAAGTCACCTGAACAAAATTAGCTGAACCATCATTGACACTTATGAACATTCAAA